TTTAATTTGTAGATTTTTTAAGTTATTTGAAAAGGATAGAAACATCACAAATGCTAAACTTGACAGAAGTGAGAGTAGATTTTTAACTATTATTGATCTGCAAGAACTTGTTAATATTCAAAAGATAGATATTTCATACATCACTTATGCCAACCACAAAAATACTAATCCTAAAACTATAGAAGAAGTTCAAAGTCTGCATCAAAAAGTTGTATAATTAAAAGAAAAAAATAAATCAACCTCACAACTAAATCTAATTTTTTTTGCTTCTTTTAGTACAATAGGGAGAAGGATTAGTATGCCAAAGAATTTTGATGGAATAAGATTAAAATGTTGAAGATTTTGCAACAAGTCAAGTTCTAATTAAGATTACATCTCTTTAAATACTTTGATGGATTTTCATAAGTTAGATTCATAAGTGCACTTCTATCTAAAAGTGCTCTCTTTCTTAGTTTAATGCTTTGATAGACAAAGGATTCACGACTCTTTTATGATTGGAATTCCATCTTAGAAGTATCTACAGCCATATTTTGAGAAAGTGATCAAGAAAGAGTAGCAAAAATCTAGTTTTTATCTTTACAACAAAGATCAAGATCAGCCATGATATATGTTTCTGAATTCCAAAACCTCACTTACAATATGGACTAAAATAACAAAGCCCTCATCAATCAATTTCAATATATGGTAAGGATAACGTCCAAGATTTATTATTAACAATGTCAAAAATAAAATCTTTGAAAGAATTTATTATTGAAGCCATTGCATGCAACAATCAATTATTTAAATGGCACCAAGAACAAAAATTTGATTAGAGACAAGCAAGTCAAGCAATGACAAAAGCTTCTAATTTTTCAAAAACTTATTTATAAAGGCCGAAACCAATACAAATTGATACTATACATTTTAAATCCTTTACTAAGTAAAAAAAGACTTGATGTCATTAAGAAGATATGTACTTGTATTGTAGAGAAGCTTAGCATACTACTCAACATTATTCAAAGAAGAAATGTAATTACAAAGTGATGAGTATAATTACTTAAGAAGATAAATATATCAAAAAATAAGTTTCTTCAGCTACAATTAGAATTGTACATCTTGAATTATATATAACTCCTATTAAAAGACCTATTCTTTCCTCCAATCTCTCATGCTATTATATAATAGATGTGTATTTAGGACATTAAAATCACAAAGTCTTTGCATTATTAGATTTTAGAGCCTCAGATTGTTTTATAGACAAAGACTTTATCAAAAAACAAGAAATATCTTTAATCAAGAAAACTAAATCTATACATGAAGAAGTCATAGATGGTCATTTGTAGTCTGTTAGAGATATTATTTATGAGATTTTTTCTTTAGATGTAATAATAAGAGATCATAATAGTGTAGTAATATTTAATGTGATAAGATCTCCCTTTAATCTAGTTACTATATGATTATTGTAGTTAAAAAAATATAACTCTTAGATAGATTAAATTTCTTATAATATTAAGTTCTTTTGAAGTTTAATCCAAAATTTTGATAGTGAAATAGAAATAGATAAGCCTAGTACATTCAAATCCTTGCTAATAGGTGCAAGAGCTTTCATCATGCAAAATAAGAAAAGGCCATCTTTTATTATATATGCCATACCTATTTCAAATAGTAGAAAGATGTCATATGGTTTTTTTAGCTAATGCCAAGATTTCTAAGATGTTTTTGAAAGAAAAAATAAGAATATTCTTTTAAAGCATCAATCCTATGATTGTTGAATTAATCTACAAGAAAGAACTCAACCTCCATTTGGATCATTTTTTAGCTTATTGCAAAATGATTAGGATTGCTTGACCAATTCAATCAAGTATAGATCTATAGAAAAATAGATCTATAAATAGCATACATCTTAATTCATATTAAAAAAGACTGAGTGAAAGACTACTTTTTGAATTAAGTATGGTCATTTCAATTATAATGTCATGCCTTTTGGACTCACAAATGGACCAATCACTTTTCAACATCTCATGAATAATATCTTTTGAGAATTTTTAAATGATATTATTATCTATTATTTAAACAACATTCTAATCTACTCTAAAAATACAAAAGAATATAAACTTCATGTATGTCATGTGTTACCTAAACTTAGAGATACAAGATTGTATATAAAGATGAAAAAGTGTGTATTCCTCACTATTTAGGTTGAATTTTTAGAATGCATTATTTCTAATGAAAGATAAATGATAGATCTTGAAAAGGTCTAAACTATCATGGATTAAAAGATTTCAAGAATAATGAGAGATGTGTAATATTTTTTTTAAAATTTTCTAATTATTATCAAATCTTTATTAAAAATGATTTTTAAGTTGGAACTTTTTTTATATGTCTCATATAAAAAGAATAATTTGAATGGAACAAAGAAGCAAAAACATCTTTTGAAGCCTTAAAGACACTATTCATTTTTGTACCAATTTTGTATCATGTCAATGTTTTAAAGGTATTCTTCATAGAAACAAATACATTATACTTTGCTATGGGTGTTGTTTTATCACAAATGAAAGCAGATGATAAGCTCTATCCTATTTTTTTTCATTCTAAAACAATATTAAGAATTAAGATTAACTATAAGATCCACAACAAAGAGCTTCTTGAAATTATGGATTCATTTCAAGAATGGCATTATTATCTAGAAGGCACTTATAGTTCAATTATGGTACATACAAAGGACAAGATCTTCAAGAACATTATATTGGCACATGTTTTGATCATCGCCAAGCTTGTTGAAATATGTCTTTATTAAGATTTGATTTTAAGATTACATATAGACCTAGAAAAATAACAAGGTTATTCAAATATCTTTTTAGATATTCTTATCTAGCATCAAAAGTAGGAGATGTCACATATTATCATTAAAAAATGATTCTCTTGAAGTCAAAGCATTTTCATCTTTGAGCAATAAAATCAAAATTGACTATTGATTCAACCTTTGTCAAGCAAATTCAATCTAGTATGTCTTTTGATTCTCTCTTTTATGATATCAAGAATAAATCTTTTAAGTCTCATGATACTCTAAGTTTAAGTTCAAAAATAATCTATTCTAATTAAGAGACAATTATACATTCCAAAAGACAAAGCAAAATTGTATATTCTTTAAGGTCAACACGACTTTCTAAAAGCTAAATATTTTGGACACAATAAGACTTTGAAACTAGTATCTGAAGATTTTTCATAGCTTAAAATGTGGAAGGTAGTCAAAGACTTTGTACAATGATGTGATATTTGTTTAAGATCCAAAATTCTTCATCATCAATCTTAAGCACTTCTTCAACCATTACCTATCTTGAAACAACCATGGACTTTTATTCTTATGGATTTTATTACAAATCATTCAATCTTAGGTTTATATGATTCTATATTTGTGATAGTAGATCAATTTACTAAGATGGTATATTTGTACCATGTACAAAATCTATCAAAAGAAAAGAAACAACTAAGCTTTTTCTAAACAACAATTATTGCTATCATGGATTATCTAAGGATATTATATTAAATAGGAAACTTGATCTATATCAAGATTTTTGGAGAATCCTTTTTAAGATTGTAAAAGTAGATAAAAAGCTCTTTTGAGCTTTTCATCTTCAAGTTGATAGACAATCAGAATAAGTGAATTAAATTTTAGAGTAGTATTTGAGGTGTACCATCAATTATCATTAAGATGATTGAACTACTCTTTTGCCATTGGCAGAGTTTGCATATAATAATTTATTAGATTGTTCTACTCAACAAACACCTTTCTTTGTATACTATGGTTATTATGTATGACTTGATACATTTAACTTTTTAAAAGTTGATAATTCTATGGCAAAATGTTTTGCAAATCATTTGTCAAAATTACATGCAAGAATGAAGGCACAATTAAAAGAAGCTCAAGAATGACAAAAAATCAATGTAGATGCCTATTTCAAGGAACAACCACAATTCAACATAGTTGTTAAGGTATGGGTACTTTGTTATCATATTAAGACTACTCATCCTTGTGACAAGTTGGACTATCATAGAATTGGACCTTTTCCTATTAGTGAATAAGTCAATCTTTTTGCTTATCGATTAAATCTATTGGAGTCTATGAAGATCCATTTCATATTCCATGTATCTCTTTTTGAGCCATATAAGACAATGAATATCTTGAGAAGAAGTCAAATACAACATCTTCTTATAAACATGAAAAATAATCAAGATTTCATGGTAGTAGAAGTCTTAGATTTATGCAGTGCCAAAATAGATTAAAACTACTTCAAAGTAGTAATCACTATTCTTTACATCCGTTCAAAGATACATATTGTATTATTTTTGTTAATATATCTAATTTTGCTTTCTTTACAATCCTATAAGTAGATGAAAGTCTTCTTAAGAAAAAAAAATGCCACAAAGATACTAATTGTGAATAAGAATTTGATAGTCAATATACTCATATACCACTAAAGAAGAAAGAAGCTTAAGAGACAACAAATAATAATAAGATGTAAAAGAACTAAAAGGATAGTTGGAAAATATGATGACATTACAAAGTTTTATACTAAGACCAAAATACAACATAGCTTCTCTTGAGACTAATGGTTGCCCTATTCTTGTTTCTATATAGATATATATATATATATATATAAGCTATTAGGTAGGCCCTCCAAACTCTTCCTATGCACCTCAAGCCTTATAATTATCAAATAATACATTTGTGTTTGTGTGAATGGTTTGTGCAAATGCCATGTTGGTTGTGAGCATACATATACATTTATACACATACTCTTGACACTAGTTCTGTGCGCAGAATGCAACATGTCACGTAGGTGTGACATTTACCCCTCTAAAATAGGTTTAGTTGCCCTTCCCAGCCACAGGATGTCATGAGCATGGCTTTTTACTCTGTTGCAACTGGGTGCTGCGTGGGCTTCCAACAGTGCAGCCCGCTGACCACGAGATGGGCCATGACGACCACAGTGGTGCCAGAGGAATGTGACATTCATCTGGTTTTGGAGGCAGCGGAATCCGTTTCCGTGGTTGGCAGCAGCGGCCAGCAGCGGTCAGCTCGATGGGAATTCCATCTCGCTATCTCAGTGGAGATATCTCGGCTTATCCAATCCGGTGACCGTAGAAGTGCCCCGAGCATGATTTTGCGCTGGGCGAAGTCGCTATAAGGCCCTCCTCCGAGCTGGGTCGTCCGTGCACAGTCGGCCCGGTATCGCCACTTCATCGCTTCACTCCATTCTGTTGGAGATCCTCCGTTCGGGAACGTGTGTGCAGACATGGCAGGAGCTACCGCGATGCACTCGACAGCCTTGGCTGGGCAGGGTGTGCTCAAGCCCGTGAACGAGCTGTCCCGCAAGGTGGGCAATGTGGAGGCCCGCGTCACGATGCGGCGGACCGTGAGCAAGTCCGCTGGCAGCGACAGCATCTGGTATGGTCCCCACTTGACGAACTCTGGGATGACAGTTTTGAGTGCTTGATGGTTGTGTTGGGAGCGCGATTGGGATTGGGGTTGAGCGGAGTGTGTTGGGGATTGGGGTTGAGCGGAGTGTGTTGTGGATTGGGGATTGGGGATTGTGGGGCGGAGGCCATGAAGCAGTGGAGGCCTTGAATTTGGAAATCGGAATGGCATCCGGCCGGGGCGTGTGGTCGGTTTGGTTGTCCACGCGCGGAGCAGCTTGAGAGGTGAGAGGTGAGAGATGGAGGTTGGCATCGGCGGTGGGGCATTGGAAGTGTGACAAATGTTGGGGTCAGAGCTGCTATGGCGAGGGTGTGCATTGCTGAGGTGACATTGGTGAGGGATAGAGAGGAACGTATGCCTAAGCCGAACGTCGGACTGTTGCTCAGGTACGGAGCTGACCGACCCAAGTTCTTGGGCCCCTTCTCCGGCGAGACTCCGTCGTACCTGACCGGCGAGTTCGCTGGAGACTACGGGTGGGACACCGCCGGACTGTCGTCCGACCCGGAGACGTTCGCCCGCAACAGGGAGCTGGAGGTGATCCACGCCCGGTGGGCCATGCTGGGGGCTTTGGGGTGCCTGACCCCGGAGCTGTTGGCGAAGAGCGGCGTGAAGTTCGGCGAGGCGGTGTGGTTCAAGGCCGGAGCGCAGATTTTCAGCGAGGGCGGGTTGGACTACCTGGGCAACCCGAGCCTGGTGCACGCCCAGAGCATTTTGGCGATCTGGGCATGCCAGGTGGTGCTGATGGGAGCCGTGGAGGGCTACCGTGTTGCGGGAGGACCCCTGGGCGAGGTGACAGACCCCATCTACCCGGGAGGGTCGTTCGACCCCTTGGGTTTGGCTGACGACCCCGACACCTTCGCGGAGCTGAAGGTGAAGGAGATCAAGAACGGGCGATTGGCGATGTTCTCGATGTTCGGGTTCTTCGTGCAGGCGATCGTGACCGGAAAGGGGCCATTGGAGAACTTGAACGACCACTTGGCCGACCCGGTGGCCAACAACGCATGGGCGTACGCCACCAACTTCACCCCCGGGAACTAGGATGGCGCGGTAGAGCCGATTTAATTTTCTGTGAGCTGCGAGAGTCTGTCACCTAGACGGAGCCACCAGTCGGGTTGGCGGCGTTCGCACAGTTGTACATTGGGAGAGTGTGAATGAGTAAATTGTGGATGTGTTATTGTAATTGGGAATTGCAACTGGGCGGAGGGACGGGGAGGCGGGTGTGGATGTGGGCATGGAACGGTTCCGTACGCAGACGGGTGTGTGTTGGTTTCGGCCGGTATGGGAAGTAGCGCCATGTCTTGCGGGATCGATGTGATGGGGAGTGGTTTCGTGGAGTGAAAGACGGTGAGAGCCGAAACTGTGAATGTGAGGGTGGGTGCGGGGGAATTTGTTTGATCTCTAGGAGCATAGCGAGGCGCCCATGCGCTGCGCACGGTGGGGGGATAAAGTTGGCGGGGATTGTTTGTGACTGGAGTTGACTGGTGGATTATCCATATCTGGCAAGCCGTGACATGTGATTGAATTGGCGTCGAGAGGTAGTTTGCGTGGATGGCAGAGCTCAATCAGCATATATGAGGGTGAGGCACACAGCGGGCTCTCACACAATTCTCATCGGTTCACTTTGGTGTCGAAGTAGGACGGGAATACGCAGTTCCTGGAACGGGACGCTGCTGTGGAGAAAACGAATGTGTGGGCGTTGAATGGGTTGCGTAAAGCTTGTCGGAGCGGGGCAAGGGACTAGAGACCGACTGTGTACCATGGGAGTGGAGGGAGATGAATGCGGAAGGGATGTGGGGATAATTTTTGTATATGGACCGTCGTGGTGTATGCAAGAAGGTAGAACAAGGAACACAGGAATCGCTCGAAACGGGCAGTGCACAGCGTAAACAGTGTGCATTTTGAAAGGAAGAACCTGTGTAGTTCGAATTCGGGATCGAAAGGATTAGTCAGGAAGAATATCAGAACTGATATGCTCTTCATCCTTGCAAAATGGACGTGTCAGACGGTCTTGACTGTAGATGTATAGATTCTTGATTGGTGTACATAGTTTCGGATTATGAGAGTCGCAGTGCTAGCAACCGCAGTGTGTCTTTTCTGCATTAGGCGCAAGAAAACGTAGAGTAAATCAGGTACGCTTTGCGCCTGGAAAATGAGATTCTACTCCTGTCCAAATGATATACTATTGCACACATATCTTCAGAGGGGAGGAATGATTGCGGATTACATTCCATCTCCAACAAATCAGACAGAATCCAAATGTCCCAACCAAATCTTGCATTCCGCTCATTGCAGTATGTACTAGAAATTCATTCCTCAGCAGGCCACTGTGTGCTGAGTCATTTGACTTTTCAATTCACATGTAGTTATTATTAAAGCACTTATTGAGCTCATGGTCACAAGCAAAATTTGAATTAGTGTAGCTAACTCTATTACTGGGAGCTTTGTGTATCTACAATGCAACGCAAATGCGCACAGTTGGTAAGCATTTTGTGTTGTTGCAAATGTAGGGCACAACAAGTATTGCTGCGGCGGAGCGTCAATTACATTGCAATCAACGTGTGCTTCTTCTCACTAGACGCGGGCATGATGCATTCACTTCTCAACTCCAACAATACTCCCCAAAACTGCAAATTTCAGTGCAGTGTAAAATCCACGAGAAACAAACCACATGATCAAAGGACAAATAATGCAATAGATATTGCTACTTATAGAATATAACTTTGAAGTTATTTGAATTCTCCAATAACAAAACAGAATTGGTCATAATTTATTGTAAGCACTTAGCCTAATATATGACTTAAGAAGTGACAAATTTTTTACATATCTATATATTCAAAGTGTAAGTTTAGATATTATAATGATCAATAACTTTTGGATGTAAAATTTAATTAACTGTCTAACACTGGAACAATTCCTTTATACATTCATTGGCTTGAATTGCATCAACTTTGTATACAAATCATTAACATATATATGTACTAATAGCAACCTTTATAAACTCTAGATATGCAATAATACTTGACTGTGCATTTGTATAGTCCAACATCATGAGTGGATTTAAGTTATGTACAATTTTCCTACAAATAGATATCAAGCGATCAATAAGACCATTAAAATATTTCTTATCACTAAATATTGGTGGCCTTCATTCCATATAGATTTTTACAAAATATGTTTCATGGTACCATGTTTGTTAAATTGCCAAACTTAGATTTCTATATAGGAAGCAAGTTTCTCTACAATCTATATCTGAACTTGCTTTATTTATGCATTAGAGCCTAAGATTCATCAGTGCTATTAAACCATGCACTAAGCTATATAATAAATATATAACTATGGCAATGAACTTTGTAATCAAATGGTGCAAGGCTTGTGCATTAAAAATAAATACAACATCAACCACCACCAAATTCTTATACAAAAATATAATCATATAATTTAGATACTTGCTTGAGATAGCTTCAAATTAAGAAATCTATTTTGTAAATGAAGTAACCAATTAATTCTTAGATAAATTCATAATCAAGTATTGGATATCATATACTTATTATCTCCAACAAAATGGTCTTACAAAATCCACAAACAAAATAGTTATCAATATAATACATTGATTCATTCACAATAATATAGTACATTGATTTATTCACAACAACAAGGCTGATTAAGGCAAAGATTTATCTGATCTTCTATAGACCAATTGTATTTCATATAAAATTGCCATTGTATAGTTTCCTTTCAAAATTATGTTTTGGGGTATAGCCCTTGCTATCTTTAAAATATATTGTACCAACTTTTGATAAACTTGTGTATCTCAAAGGCTCAAGTATAAAAGCTATTGTTTCTTGTATTGAGGATGTCAAGAGAAATAAAGAGTTGTGCCATCAAGCCATTACCAACATCAAAACAATTAGATAAAGATGATACCACAATACAAAAAGTTAATGTTAGTGCTTTAAATCTAAGGATAGTAAGAGATCGAATTTATTAGTGGTTGTGTTTTGAGCTTTATCTTGAGCAATTTGATAAGATTTTGGCTCAAAAGTTTTTTAATTTTGTGTAATTATATTAAAAAAATTTATGCACAAATTTTGTAGTATTTGAGTTTTGGATTTTTTTGATATGAAGAAAATAGTTTAGAAGTGCTTCCAAAATAATGTTTTGAACATCTTCTAGGGTTTCTAACATGCTAGAAGATCAATGATAGATTCATGGTTAATATTTTTTTTGGTAAAATTTAAGCATAGAATCTATATCATATAGAAATTTGAAAAAAATAGAAGGGTTGGATCTAGAGATATAAATTTCTAAAGGTCAAGGTAAAAATATCCTTTGCAAGAAGAAAATATTTTGAAGGGTTTTGTCATAATTTGTACTTTTGTACCAAATAAAGGGTTTTTTGGAAGCTAAGACATCATGTATAAGTAAAAGCTAATCTCTCTACAGCTAGGTATCTAGTATATTCTTGGATAGCAAATTACACCATACGACAATGTATCACAACTTCATTATTTAAATAAAATGTAATCATAAAGCATTCTATCTTATTGGTAATAAAAATGGCAAATTCTACAAAAATATTTAGAAAAGTTCAAACTAAGTAAGCTCTTTATACAAATACTTTGTGCAATTATGTTATAATCTCAACATTATTCCATACTAGCAATTTTTTTATTTTCTTTCTCATTCTATACTTTGTGCCATTGCCTTCTTATACTCTTGATTATTTTATTACTTTATTGCTTTATTTTCCTATGTATGTAATAAAGCAACAACTTTACTTACATTATATTTGATTTTTTGCATTGTTGAAGATCCAAGCTTAGATAGACATGAAAGATCATGCGTAGATAGAAAATGTGGAATTAAACAACTTTTATTAGCACTTTTTTGGTGACATTAATAAAACTTAGTATCAAAAATTTGTGTAGAATATGATTTTTTGCAATGCTAGTAAACATTAAATCATGAGCAAAGTAGAAGGTAAAAACATCCTATAAATTATAATGTATCTTTTTACAATATACTGATTTATATTTGTAAGAATAATATATTTAAGATTCCATTGTGAGCACTCTCTTCAAAACTGCAAATATATTATCAAGTTCAAGACCAAGACATGTAGGAGTTATAGCATCCACATGATTAAGATTTGAGGCAAACTTCACAAATATATATTTATTTGTGGAGTTTTTGCAGTAGTGTATTTTTGCAAGTAAGCAAATGTCATGTCAAATATTATAATAGATATTTATTTTTTAGATTAAAAAAAACTAAATTAATAAAATAATAATCAATGACACATTTAAAAAAAGAATTATAGTACTTAAAGTAAGATCCTCACTTGTCTAATATGATTTGCCTATTTCTTATAAATTACATATACATAAGTAAAAATTCCATGTCATAAAGTTCTAGCATTGTCATAGAGATACATATTTTTTCTAATATTTGTCTATATTATAAAAAAGAAGTAAGTAAAAATATATTTATTTTATAATATTTTTTAGAATAGCTTTCTAAAAGCTTCATAGATGTTGTTTTGATTTTACATATGTTTGTAGTTGATTGATAGGTTGGTAACTTGATCAACAAGTTAAGCACGTGTTGGTGGTATGTAAAATATGTTAACTATGTAGTACACATATAAAAACCATGTTTTATAAGTTAAGATATGTGTCTTGTAAAATTAAGATATTTTAGATGTCCTATTCTAAGGAATATATATTTATTGTAATAATTATCTAGGTAATATGAATAGATAAAAGTAGATTAATTTCATAATATCTTCTAAAAAAGCTTTCTAGAAGTTTCATAGACGCTGCTTTGATTTTACATGGGTTTATATTTGATTGGTAGGTAAGAAACTTGGTCAACAAGTTAATTAGAAGTTGTAGATTACACTCTTTTAAACTAATATTGTCCTTAGTATTTTCTTTGTTTTTAAGTCCTTTCTTCTATTTGTCTTGAGCAATATTAGACATCTTTTTTTCTAAGTATTATAATGCTAGAACTTACTGAAATAAAGAGAATAATAGGATAAATGTAAGAGCAATTGAAGGAGTTAATGCTTACTATGCATCAACTCAATTTACTACCACAAGAAGCAACAAGATTGACAGGAAGTGAAGTTATAGAAATGATTGGAGCTGCTTCAACATTTGCATCGAATCATAAGCCTTC